ATGAAAAATGTGAATTTCTCAAAGACATGGGGTCAGAAGAGACCTCGAGGGTCGCTTAGGACAACTTCCTGCACATATGCAAAATTCACTCTTCCTAAAGCATCCCAGAGAGCTGCCCCTTCAATCTCTTCTCCAAACATCACCAGTGAAAGGGATTACATGACTCCCCTGGGTGGCTTGTTTCACTGTGCTACTGCTCGTACTGTCCATGCCTGTTCTGCCCCGAATCACTCACATGGCTCCAGGAGTCTATCAAACCCACTAATAAGGAACTGACAAGTGCTTTAGCTAGAGAGCAGTCTGGGTCAACTCCTGTCTTTTTGTTCTTTTTTGTACAGCACCTAGCACGGAAGTGTCCTGGGCCAGGACTGAAGCTCCCAATGCCAATACAATACAAATCATAAATACTGATAATGCTGATAGCAGCTACAGTTCATGCTCTGGCTCCTTCCCTAGGGCTTCTGGTGTGGGTGTGTGATGCAGTACCACATTGCAGGACAGTGATTGTGTGAATGTGGGTGTGAAGCACTGTGGAAGCATGTTTGTTCCTTAGCAGGTGTGTCAGTTGCTGTGAGCGTGTATGTAAGACTGCGTGTGCCAGTGCCTGCCTCTGTGGGTGTACGCATCTGCATGGGTTTGTAAATGTAGTGAGATTGAATCACACAGGGCTTCTACCCCATCCTGGCCAAAGGGGTTTGCCTGTCAGCTCTCTGTAGTTCAGCTCAAGCTGTGCCCTGTCTTATGTTATTAACTGTAAAGGGCACTGAACACTTAGAAAGCCCCTAAGCTTCCATAAGATTGAATGCCTGGCTTTGTCACCAGCTGATCAGTTTGTCACTCGGGGAAAGTAGCATTGTGATGTGTCCGTCCAGTCCATGCTCCCTTCCAGCACCACTGGGATCTGCCGAGGCAGGAAGACGGATTGCACATTCTGCACTGCCTATGCTGCTCAGCAGTTTCACCAGTGGGGATCGCAACTCCGATGCCTTGTCCAGTTTCTGCCTCTTTCCC